TGCAGGAGCCACATTCATGCTGGGAGTGAGCTCGTGCATAGAACTTACCTGTAAGAAAGTTCTCTACGTCGCAGGCCTGAGTTCATAGGAGGTTTGGGTGAGTAGCCCCCTTGGTGTACCAGCACGTCTTTTCGCTTAAGTACTGAGTGTGTGCTGTGGGACAGCCTGGGCATGGCCATCCGACAGCCCTGGGTTTGAATTACAGCTTCCCTATACTAGCTGTGTGACCTTGGGCAACTTACTTCACCTTTCTGAGCCTGTTTCCCAGTCTGAAAATGTGGATAATAGCACTACCTTGAAGAGTTATCTTGAGGATTCTGTGTAAATAATGCATAAAAGCAGCTGGGTTATAGTAGCTCAATAAATATTATAATGTTCCTTTTCCCCTTAATAGGATTCAAATTAAACATACCTTTCAGGTCAAGGTCATTATATTGTCACTGCCTTGACACCAGCAACAGACGTTCTTTCCTTCGCAGGGAAGAAGGAAGAAAGAGTAGTTTCTACTCTTCCAGGATGTAACTGATGAAGTCAGATAGTGCAGTAGTTCCCGAGAACGAAGGCCTAATAGAGATCCACGCTGTTCCGCTGTTCAGAGATGCACGATGGCATCCCGCAGTTGCGGCCAGCCACAGGGCAGCTGTGACACGGTTGTCGTGGCCTGCCTGTGTGTGAACTTGGTCAGAGCTGTTAATATGACCACCGCTTTAATTATGTGCACTCTTGGTTCCACACATGTTGTGTCTAATTGCCATTTACAATGTCTCCCAAATCGCACTCGGAATCGGCTTTGAGATGCAAAGTCACTGCGAATACTGAAAGGCACCCAGAGCAAAGCAGCACGGTGTTCATTTGCTATTAGTCAAACAGGTATTTGCGTTGCTGTGTTCTTGAGAAGCAACAAGCAAGTTCTTTGGGGGACCTAATAAAGGACGGTAGCTTCTAGATGAAGTTGGATTATGTCTTGTTACTGAGATACCCTTGGGAAAACACGCACACTGATGACTGAATCAAAATGATGCAGGGTGGTCGGACTCCGAATGTTGAAGGAGTGTTTTAGGAATCGCTTAAACAAACGTATTTTGCTGTATTTTCCTTTTAAGGTGAGTGATCAAGAGTGATAGGTGGTTTTTAAATTTTGTCATTGTAAGTGGTGAGGAAGTAACAAATTACAGTTTACTTATGGTCTTTTGCATCCTTGGTGGTATATAAAACCAAGAGTAAAGGTTGCCTTCCAAAGAAAGTGTCAAGCAGCCTACTGAGCTCAGCGAGTAGAAGGGTGACGAGAGTGTGCTTGGTGTCAGCAGGACATGTGCCTGATGATGCCCAGCAAGCACCTCACACTCATAAGGGAGTCTCAACTGTCCTCACCAGGGCTTTGCCAGGTATCCCTCAGAAGCAGGGCAGGAACAAGAAATCATTCTTCGGATGCTAAGCGAATGGATCCAGTGGGACCAGCCATGTCAGGGCCTCAGAGAGAGCCCATCTGGGCATGAGAAGTTACTGAGCCTACCGTGTGCTGCTTCTGTAACAGGCACTTCATGGGTTATCTCCAACCCTTGCAACCGTCCTGGAAGATTTCCAGTGGGGCAGGTCCTGCCCTTTTAGGAAGCACTTTGCCAAAAAATAACAAAAGGTGTAAAAAAAAAAAAAAAACCAAACACACACACACACACACACAGAGCCCTGCCTCTTGATTTAGTAATTCCATGATTGGGAATTCATGCCCATGAAGTTGTTCATTTTCATTACTGCATGACTTATAGTGAAAAGTCGGAAGCGACTTAATATCTAACTTTGGAAATAGGGTGCAGTAAATTAAGGCATATCCATAGCTGGTGGAATGTTACACAGTCTTTAATCACAAAGATTGTAGTCTAATATGGGAGACGTTAACGTGGCCAATGAGAAAACAATAAAATATGTATGCACTCTATAATTTCGAAGATATAAATATGTTTGTTAATGTGGGCCAATACTGGATAAGAAAAGTATGAAAATAAAAGTAGCGTTAAGGTGCTATGATCCCCCTCCCCCAAATTTCTCTTTACAATAAAAAGCCAAAGAAAAGAGGTTTCCAAAGAAAGTGAGTCAGTAGCTACAATAACTTTGAGGTTTACTGAGAATAGAAAATTTCAGAACACACCTACAATTACCCAGTTACATATTTGCTACATTGAGATGTTAAGGAGACTCTGTGTTTTCTTTTTTCCCCCATTTTCCTCTCCCCACTTGGAATCTGTAATTAGTATCTTTGCAGAGCAAAATGCAGTCAATTCAGGGAAGTATTTGAGGCTTTGTAAGCAAATGATGACAGTGTAAAAGGTATTTGTCTGAATTTGCATTTATACAAAACCTGGAGCTGCTGTGATTTCAGAGTAAATGTGCTTTCAATATTTTCTAAATACAGAGCTGTTGCAGCCCTAACAGTACTTGGCTAAGAAATTGCACGTCTATGATAGGCCATAATTACTCTTTGGGAAATTATTGGGCTTAAAAAAAAATGCCTACCTAATGATACCTGAAGGGTGAGTCCCACTTTGTCCCATTTTGCATCTGTAGTCACTTCGGCAAGACTCCTTTTCCTCTCTTTCAGAGTATCACTGATTTTTATTGCAGGACAAAAGGGCATGGCATTAAAACCTACATATTTAAAATTCTAGAAAACATTTCCTTTTCAGGTAAGAGCCTTTAGTTATACAGAGACTTTTGCAGTATTTATTTTCACCTCTTTCTCACACTTGTTTGAACGGTCTTTTTCTGTACATTAACTCATTTGCTGGAATTTCAGTTCTGAAATTCTAATTAAAACTCCACATCCTTTGTCATTTGCATGATTAAACGTAGGAGCTGGAAAAGTTGATGAGATTTGGTTAAATATTATGGATTGGAGTTTTTCTCCCTTCTCTGTGTTAGGCTGTGCTTCTGGACAAATTAATAAGTGGCCATTTTTCTGGAATTCTGCACTCTTCCTGCTTCCTTTCATTACATTAGGCAAGGTTCCACTAGATGAGACATTTGCAGTCTTAAGACTTCCTGCCAGGGTTCAGACTTTGTATTTTTGACATTGAAGCTGTCGTGTTCCTGAAGCTACTTAATTAGAAACACATTCATTTCAGTGTACACTGGAAAAAGCTTGGACAGCAGAGCCCGGCACACTGGGAAGTTTGAGCATTTGTTTGGCTGGCAGCTAAACTAATGGTTTACAGTTTAAGCGAAAAAAATATCATAGGGCATTTCCTTGCCCCTAGAAGCGAAGAGAAGCTGAATGTGCACAGCAGATACCTTTTTTTAAAAAAGGAGAGAGGAAGAAGAAGAAAGCAAAGACAAGACAACTCCACTTTCACTGCAGTTGTGTGTATAATTCTTTCTTTGGCTATTATCAAATACAAAAGTCTTCTAGAAGAATAGTTCCCAAACTGTGCTGCTAATATTCAAGTCTGTTTTACAGGCTCCCAAGATATGTTACTGCTGAGATCTGTAGTAAGGAGGACATTTTATATTCTGGGAAAGGATTTTTGCTTGAAGAATTTTATTTGTTGAATGGTGATGAGGGAATTGTGCCCTCTCTTATTTTTAAATGTTTGAGCAATTTTAAAATGCACATCTGACGTTTAAAAACCTTCATTCCCTACCCATTGCTTTCAGGATAAAGCCTAAACTCCTTAGTATTCAAGTGAAAGCACACCTCTGTGTTCTCACTTCTTACCCCTCTGGCTCCCCGCACCCTGTTCCCAAGAAGAGCCATCCTTGCAGATCCACTTGCAGTCTCCTGGCTGCCCCAGAGGAAAGGTGCCTGGTCACCTTGATCAGAGCCAGGTATCTTTGCTCTAGGCTCACAGAATAACTCTTGCACCTTTCATAGGATGTGTTACGTACTGGGGAGACCTGGGGAAAAGGTGCCCGCTCACTCTCTTCCTCCTACTTCTTGACCTCTCTCCCCTACTGTCCCATTGATGGGAGGTGGGCCCAGGGATTTTAGGTTCAGTGTTATGAAGTCCGCATGGCCCAGAAGAAGAAACTTCAGAGTCCTCCCAGGTTTGCTGCTTCCTTTGTTTTATGGCTTTAGAGGAGGGATTTAAGCTCTCTGGGGCTGTTCTCTCCTCTGTAAAATGAGGATAACGCCTACCTTATGCCATTGTTGCGTGGATTAGGAAAGATGAATTTGAATTTCCTCATTTAATGCTTAACCCATTTATCGGTAAGTAGCATCATAAATGATAATGTGTGTGAGCACACACACACACACACACACACACTCCTGAAACTAAAGGAAATCAGTACATAATGCCCAGGTTTTAAGAGCTTTGGAGTTGGGTTCTCTACTCCTGCTCAGTCACTGACTTAGGGAACCATTGCCCTCCCTGTGAATGAAGCAGTTGAAAGGGGCTTTGTGAACTGTGGTGTCATTGGATGACATGTGTGCACTTGGTGGGGGAAGGCTTGCTCGAAGTTCCTCACGTACTTAGGCCAGTCAGAATGGACAGTTAGATCACATCTCTGGATGGCAGAAGGAAACAGCAAATAAAACATCGTTTTTCGCCGAAACGCATCATGCCTTCCATTCAACCTTGTTAACTGCTTTTTCTGTCGTAATTGTGGCAATAATAGTTTCCTTTTGTGCCAGGAACTATACTAATCATTTGACATGTTTTCTCTCTTGTTCTGATCATGAGCTGCCAGTTTGATTCCAATATCCCATTTTAAAGATAAGGCAACTGAGGCTGTGTAGTCACAGAGCTGCTCCTGAGGGATTAACGCCAAGGTCGGTGCTCTTCCCACCACCCATGCTGCTTCTCAGGCTGCCCACATTTTGAAATTCTCCGGAAGTTTCTAGGCTTGGGAACAAAATGTCACATTTAGGATTTTTGTTGTGAAAGGAAATGTAACTGTGCATACGTTTATTAAAACAGTTTTTCTCCAAATAGTGAACCATCTGTAATTTTCTGTCGGAAGCAACAGACATTAAAGCAGCTGTGTGTCTCTGTTTCTCTTCACAGTGCTCCCATGCCCTACCTCATAGGAATCCATTTAAGTTTAATGGAGGTAAGTTGGCGCCTTTCCTCCCCAGATCTCTCTACTTGCAGCTTTGTTTTGCTATGTGGCAGTGAAAAAGACACAGTCTCTGGATTCACAGCTCTGCACATGGGAGCATGTCAAAGCAACACTTCATATGCAGCCCCCTCCCAGGTGCACAGAGCTGAGCGTTCAGCAGAGACCCTTTCCACTGGGCTCTGGTTTCCAGTGTTTTTCCACTTTGCTTGGAGATTGTCAATTTTCATGGGTGAGGGAGTGAGGTTCAAAGAGGCAGGAGGAAGGGGTTCTTTAAGGGTTTGAATGAGGGAAGGGAAATTGCTTGCTTTTCAAAATGATGTTTATTCTAAATCACTGTAACAGTATTACGTTTTCATTGTAGAGCATGTGGTATAAGGAAGTACAAAAAAGAAAGTTAAAATTATCCACAATACCATTATTTCCAGATTCAACTACTGTTAGCATTTCATTATTCTTCCTCCTAGTCTATATTCTGTGAATATATATTTTGTATGAATGTGCATAACTGGTTGTGTGTGTGTGTGTGTATAATTTTATGTCTGTTTCACTTAAGATTATGGCATGGGGATGTCTACATGTTTTTAATCTACTCGCAGTAATAATAATTTTTAATTTGTTGCCTGTGAGCCCACTGTTTGGATATACCACAACTTAACCATTTTCCTATTATTGTTGGACACTTAGGTTGTTTATCCTTTTCCGCTCTTATAAATAGCATTTCAGTGAACATCTTTATGCATAAGGCTTTATCTGCATTTTGACTTATTTCCTTAGCACAGAACCCCCAAAGTAGAAATGCTTGGTCAAAGCTATGAATCTGGTGCCAGATTGCTTTCTGCATGGCTGTACCAATTAGATAGCAGTTCTTTTAAAGGACTTTTCTGTGCTTTTGTAAGTGCCATTGGTTCGTAGACATGAACCTTAAGCTTTTCCCTCCTCAAGAGAGAGTTTAAATTTGTACTAGAGCAAAACGGGGTGGGAGGTGGGGGGCTTGCCTGTTTTGCACAGGAGATACGCTCTCAGAGGGAAAATCTAGAGCCATGTCCGTCTGTGATGATGCTTTGCATGTCTTAAAGGAAGTGCTACTTCTCTTCTTCTGTTCCCTTCATTTCACGTCGACGAGGACCACCTGCTTCTTCACTAACTGTTGCACGCTGTGCTATTGTGCTTACGAAAATGAAACAAGTTGGTTATCGAAAAACCTGTTTGTTTGACATTGAGAATCTTGATCAAAATAGACCACAGAAATCTGCTCAAATTTCTAATTTGACAGGACGGCCATGTGGCTCCTACATTCTGTTAACAGTTCCTCCTTGTCATCACCCAGCCCTGAGCACATACAGTACACAGTTTATGGACTATCTTGGATGGTGTATTTAGATCAGATTGAAGAGATTTCTTCTGTGTTTTACCTTTGTTTGTCAAGTTTAGGGGTGTATTCAAAGCTCCTGTGTGAAAAATTGGAAGCGAATCCTTTCTCATTGACCTTTCATGCCTGTTCTTGCAGAGTTTGAAACACGAATATAAAGACCATTTGGTCTATCAGAGTCCACAACTCTTTCCTGCCCCTCCTCCTGCCTTCCAGAGTGTTCCGGCACGGGCTTTTTCAGACTCCTTTTCATGTGTCTTTACCTTTAGCATTGTCCACGTTTCTAGTCTTAGCTTGCTTTTCTTCTTTCTTCTCTAGTCTTAGCTTGCTTTTCTTAGCTTGCTTGCCCTCTAGTCTTCTCGAGTAAGGCTTTTTGCTTCAGCTACCAAGGTAATGTCAGTGACTCTCGGCTGTGATTCTAACACTGGCGTCCCTTTCTGTGGACTTCAGATGCAAAGTTTCAAGTGCCAGTTGACTGTCACCTAATGTACTACAGATGGCTCGAACTCAGACTTCCCCAAACAATGCATTACACACACGCACGCACGCACGCACGGCCTTCCGGTGCTCCCCATCCCTGTGAGTGGCACCGCTGCCTGAGAAGGCACCAAGGTGGGACGTGCGGAGCATGGCTGAGGGCTCCTCTTCTTCAGTTCTTTCTCTCTAAGTAGCCACCGCGTCTCTGACTGGACTCTCACCCTGTTCCTTCCTCACTGCCTTCATTGACCTTTTTTCTTTGCTCTCTTGGATTCTTATGAAGCCTTCCTCATTCATTTGATAAGCAAAATGCAGGCCTCTGTGTTCCAGACATTTGCTAGGCTGTGGAGGGATGAAGATGGAGATGAAATTCAGGGCACAGTCCCGACATCTGGAGGAGTGCCTTCTGCCTGGTCCCTGCACCTCTACGGCCCACCTCTCTCTGCCCTCCCCACATCTGCTCAGTCTCCGCCGCTGTTGTGCCTCATGTCCCCTCACTGTCCCTTGCTGGCAAGTGCTCTCAGTGATCCCTAAACACACACGCCCCCCCAACACCCCCGTGGCTAAGCCTGCCCTTCTCCAGTTCTTCCCAAAAGTCCCCCAGTTGTCATCTTTCACTTCCTGTACCTCTTGCTCTGGATGATAGCTGTCTGCTTCTCTGTCCTCTCTGTCATCCCTAGGAGTATGAGTTCTTTGAGAACAAAGACTGTGCTTCGTTCGTGTGGTGTCCTCAGCACTTAGCAGGACGCCGAGCAGGTGTTTTCTGAAAAGGACTGAGTGCCTACTTGGAAAACTGGAATCCGGAACACATTTAGAGCCTCCAATAGGCATCACAATTTCCAGGGAACCCAGCACTATAATTTTACTTAAAGATGGAGTAAATTTTTGACTTTTTATATGATTATAAGGCATTTTTGAAAAGGCCTTTGGTAGTAAAACATGCAGTGCAAAATATACATAAATTTTGAAGCTAAAATTTGACACAGTTTTGCGTTTAGGTAAATGGGTGCAAGTCTCCTCTCCTCAGCCTTTGAAGGGCTTAGAAGGTTCAGGAAGCACCAGGCAAGATAAATCTTAGACCTGTTTGAACTTGGGGAGGGGTTTGCCATGCTGAACTCCTGTGTGGTCAGCACTAAAAGAAAAACAGAAATAGTTGTCGCCCCATTCTTGAGGCCAGCCAAGCCACTTTCCAGACAAAGTCGTCTTTCCTGGGTGTGTTGGGCAGCCATGAACTACCCAATCATGGGATTGAGTCTATCTCCTTGCGTGGGTTTCAGCTCAGACTCCAAGTGCTCTAGTCATTCCTTTTGATTGGGTTTATCTGGTTCTATTATAACCTTCAAGGGAGAGAAATGCTTTCCTGAGATTTCTTCCAGGAACTATGGGCTGTAATGCTCGGGGAGGAGCTCGTACCTGGGGCCAAAGGAAAGCTCTTTAAGGAGGGAGCTTGGGAAGGCCCATCTCATCTCGCACACTAGTTTTCTTACTGGCAATTCAGCAAAAAGCTTATTTTTGACTGTCTTGTTATTTTTTCTTGAAAGCTATAGGCACCTTATTATGCCTTTGCATATGTGCCAGAATTTTTTAAACTTCAAATGAATGTGGCAGATGTTCATAAAAGTTTAGAAAAAGCTACCATAGGAAGACTTTTTAACCATTTTTATGACACTCAAATTTGTTGCACAAAAGGAAATATAAATTATAACCTAGTGTTCTCATTTGAAAAAAAGTTATTTTGGGGAAAGACCTCATTCTGGTCTTCCTGCTCTACCAGGATGCCCTTGCTGTGTGTTAAATGGTAACCTCGTCCCCTTAAAGAGTCCTCCTTCCTTCTAAAGTGACAAGTTTATAGTTGATCGTGATTCTTACCCCTCCTTCTGCCTTTTTATATTCTTTCTCTCATTTAAGCAAACATTAATTTGAGGCTAGTGGTAAGTTAGCAGGATAGCCAAGGCTATTGGCATAGACCTAGTTTCTTCTTGGAGAGAATGATCTCGTTAGCTGGCAGCTAGGAAGTACCGAAACGTGGCCAGATTACACAGTGGCTGTTTCCTTTCATTCTTTCAACCTCAGTTCGGTTCAGGAGACGTTTCTGCCGCCCCTCTTCTGCGCCATGGCTGGTAGCAGGCGCCAGGTCACATCTGGTCGATGGTGCTTCTCCTGTTTGATAAATGAAGACTTTCCTTTCCAAGCCTCACAAACAATGCTTTGTGTCCAGGCCTCAGAGCAACATGAGGGATGGATGCAGGATATCATGTATGTATCAGTCCCGGTGGCAGAATGCTCAGGGAGGAGGCAGGAAAGGCGATAGCCCTGGCACGGTTGCAGGCAGAGGCTTGGGTTAGCCTGTAGCTGCTGCTGCACCTCTACAGAGAGGCAGTGAAGCATAGTGGTGAGAACGTGGGCTCTGGGTGCTGGCTCCCCTCCTTCCTGCTTATGCGATCTTGGGAACCGTAATTGACCTCTTAACCTCCGTTGTCTCATGTATCAAGTGAGGGCAATGGCCGTCTCTCCCTTAAAGGACCGTTGGGGGATCCAGTGAGGTAATGCTTATTGGGTGCCTCGCACAGTGCCTGGCACATAGAGTTCAACAGAGATCAACAACCATTGCTGTTTTTTTTTTTTTTAAAGATTTTATTTATTTATTTGAGAGAGAGAATGAGATAGAGCATGAGAGGGGGGAGGGTCAGAGGGAGAAGCAGACTCCCCGCCGAGCAGGGAGCCCGATACGGGACTCGATCCCGGGACTCCAGGATCATGACCTGAGCCGAAGGCATTCGCTTAACCAACTGAGCCACCCAGGTGCCCACCATTGCTGTTTTTATTTCCTCAGTGGCCTTAAAGCCATTTACATTGATAAGCTGATGGCTTTGAATTCTGTTTCAGAGACACTTAGGTTACCAGGCTCATCATCCTCATCACCTGGGGAAGGAGAATGTCAACAAAACTGGTATGTGCTCGCCCTGTTGTCTCCTGGTTTGCAGTGCCAGAGACTATGTCAGGGATGGGAGCAGCACTTTTGTAGAGTTTGAACGTACTGTCAGTCCCCTGCTGGACCGCTCCGCTGCTGTAGGAATTTCGGGCATGATACTTTGTCTCTCTGTATCTTAATTTCTTCATCTGGAATAGTGGTTAGTATCCATCT